CCCCGCCCCCCGGGTCTGCAGACCAGAAGGCCGGGGAGCAAAGCGGGGGAACACGCAGGCAGCAGACAGCCCAGACGCGCGTCTGGGCTGTCCGCTGCCCGCGTGCTCCGCCGCTTTGCTTCCTCTCCCTGGTCTACTGGAGACCAGGGAGAGGGCCCCGTTCGTAACTGCGGATCCGACATAAGTCGGATCCGCGTAACTCGGGGACTGCCTGTACTTGTACTAGTGTGTATAAATCACATTTTCCATTGAACTATATTATTTTATACTTACATCAGAATACCCAGTACATAATTATTTGACTCAAAACCTTAGTATGCGTCTCTGAAAATATTATACTTACAGGATTTATGGAACATCAATCTGATGTCACTAATTGTAGCATGTGGTTCCACCTAGGCAACAAAAGAGGCTGGTCATGTAAGACATTTGTTTTGGAAGATAATTAGTAAGTACAAAAAATATGGTGGAAACATGGATTTTTCAAGTTGCCAGCATTCCTTTAACTTTTTGAAACATAGCCAAAAAATTCTATTTCTAGTATGGACTGCTCAAGCGACTGGTAATAGAAAAAGGGAGCATTTAATCTGTAGCTCATGTTGTAAATCCATCCATATTAATGGCCAGAGTTATTACAATATGATGATAATTTGGTGGCTTATGTGAAATCGCTCCCGGGTCACATCACAACAGGTACTAACTGGCACATTTGTCGGCCCCCTCAGCTGAGAATCTGAATGAAGATGTCCTCTGATCCTTTCAATGGTGAGCTGAGGGACTTTGTAAAGCTGTGAGGGCAAGTTTTCCCCTGACGCTGCCCAGGCTGTTGTCTCTTGCTGTGGAGGAAGAAGGGTTTTCCATCTCCTTTCACAAGCACCGTATTTACTTTTAAAAATTACAAGCTTCTAAATACTGTCACCTGCCATTTCCACAATATTATCATTTACCTTATCCAGAAAGCACAGCTGTTGCTTTGTCTTCCAATCGAGGATTTCCACCTGATAGAGAACAAAATGTCAACTCATATTATTCACTGACTGATTACTCTCCCAGTTCTTGGGGCATTCTTTAGAAATATGATCATTGCTAAGGACAAAGTACTACTATTTTCCATCCCACTGACTGTGCTAATATAACTACAATAGAGACAACATAGCTTTTGAGATAGCAAGCCAGATTTCCAACAGGTTTCTCAGGTCTAACAGACGAAAGAATGTATCTTGCCAAATCTTTATTACTGTTGCAAAAGTCAGACATAGCTTGGCATAGACAGAAAAATCATCATTTTTACTTTTAAATGGAGAGCACACTGATCTGTATATCACTGAACAATGATAAACATGGAATTACACAAGGCTACAGAGTCACTTTCAGAGTACAACTACACTTTTGGTAGAGAAACATACCTATTATTATAAAACTCATTTATAATGGTACACTTGGAAATCCTCTAACTAAAATAAGATAACATATCTAACAGAAACCAACATAGATTCTGCGCACTAATAGATCTCTTCATGTACAAATACTGATGCACTATTGCTTATCTGGGCAACATCAAAGAATTTAAATACCACCATTTATTTCATTTAAATCTGATGTTAAACATACACCTGACTTCTTTAATCTCTGATAAAGTAGCTTTCTGATGTCTGATTTTTTGCTATTCAGTGGATGCTATTGTAGTATGTTCAACCTTTAAAATTAAATACCATTCCTTATGTGACACACCCAACATTAATATCTGTTTATTTTAAAGGTCACAACACAGAGAGCACAGACCTGGGCCCAGCTATATGGGACAGGAGCTGCCACTGGGGGGCAAGTACACGTTGGGCTCATTCTCCAACATTCACCACTGGTTCTTTTTCTTCACACTGGCAAAGGTTGCAGTGCTTGGGCAGAGGTGACATACATGTAGTGGTGGGCCACCTTAGTGACAAGTTTAAATATCACTGCTTTAAAATGTATTCATTTCTTTACACTCTCAAAGAAGAAGGAAGCTGTAGCAAATCCAAGTATTAACTGATCTTACAAAATGATAAGCATTCCAGAAATATTCAAAGACGCAGTTATCATGCCATCACATCCTAGAAGTTATATTTGTTGACATTTTTATTTAGAACAGCATCACCAAGTTTCAGTTTATCCTGCTGGGGTACTGACACAAGCAAATACTGTATTGATTTTTTTAAAATCGCTCAGGAAAAAAAAAAAGCTTATTTTACAATTTAAAAAAAAAATATCACTGACCAAGAGCAGAGCAACACCAAATAAATTAATCCTGCCTCTTATGTTAAACTGCTTATGTAAGCAAGACTCCTTTGATTTAACTAGGACCATGATACGATTTGTTCTTAAGTTAAATCACTTGATTTTTTTTTCAGTTATTAAACTTCTCTCTCTCTAAACTTTTCTCTACTTTTTTTCAGTTGCAGTAATTATATCTTCCTTCCCTTGTGATTTCTTGGTCATACTAAGCTATTTCTGAGAAAAGCAGGTGAATTTGCACTTGGGGAACTTCACGCTGACAAGAATCAGGAACAGCTCCCCTGAAGACAGCAGAGTTTGTCTAACATCATTCTGTGTGAGAGAAAAATCAAGACTTTTTAGTCTGTTTTGCTTCTGTCTCTCCTTCATAATATACATAAAGGGGAAAAAACCAGATTACAACATGAGGGCCAAGTTCTGCCACTTTCCTTATGCAAAGTAATAACTGGGTCAGTGTTTAGCCCTATTTCAAGAAATCCTGCCCCCCACTTCTATTGGCGTCAGTGAGATCATAATTTTATTCTTTGACTTCCCTGAATGAAAAGGGGCAGAATCAAATGGTCGGTGTTTAAAATTAACAGGACAATACAGGAAAGGTCTGGATCCACCAATACCTTGAGGATTCTTTTGTCAACTATTTGTATGGATTAGGGATGATAAAAAGTGGGTAACTGGGTAAATGTGTAACTGCTGAAAGATTCAGGGGTTACACGGTTATCTGCACCCTCAGCGTAAAGCAGTAACCAGCTTCTGTCAGCTGCTCCGTGCTGCTGCCTCTGATACAGAGGCAGTAGTGCGGGGTAGCAGCAAGCACCCCAAGAGCCAGCATTTTGCATCCATTGTTCGATTAGTCAATAGGGTGCCTCCGCCTTTGAAGGCAAAAGTGCTGTGTGGAGTGCAGGGTCAGCTGATCCTGGACTCCACCTGTCACTGCCACTTTGAAACACAGCGTGCAGACTGACGCCAGGATACCCGCAGCGTATCAAAGCGGCAGCGCTGCATGGAGCTCAGGGTCAGTGTGGGTGATGGGAGTCCAGCCTGCCCACTGTATAATAGGCTGCCTCTGATGGTTGCTGCTGTAACTGGGCTATAGTGCCCCTTGTCCACAGTATGGTGCAGTCGGCCTAGCTAGGCTAGAGTAGCACCCAGCCCCTGTCAGTAAGGATAATGCTTAACAGCTAATCGCTGACATCCCTAGGTTGTCTGCCAGGATATATCAATCTTCTGTATGCTGTAAGATATATGTGAAGTAGCTGATTTATGGGAAATATCTTTTCTTTTTGTCTAATGGCTTCAAATCTGAGAATCTTGTTGTTACCTACTGACAAGGTATTTAGATGCTGTTATTTTTAGTGTGATAGCGTAAGCCTATTAGCACAGGACTATCAACCTGAGCAGGCTGGTAGACCTTTTCCCAATTGGCAGTGTAAAGATGTCTAAAACTTTTGGGGCTGAAGGTGGCAGTAGAGGACTTGGGAGCTTCTAGCATTCCTGTTCTTTGTGATGTTCTGTTGCTAGGGAGCAGGATTAGCCCATGGGTCTTATGAGGCAATATGAACAGGTGGTGCTTAAAACATCTTTGACAGGCACAGATCGTTGACTTAAAGTTAATGAAACAAAGGCAACAATGGATATAATACAAGAAGGAAAAGCTCCTCAGAATTTTCTTGCTGAAGGTCCTAGATTTCAAAGCAGAAGGGTCATCTAGGGCTCACATGCAAAATTCCCACCTACCAAAAATTATTTGCAACTTATTTCCAAAAACATATTTAAACAAATACATTTGTTCTCTTGAAGGAACACAGTCAGCTTGAAATTCAATCAGTTTCAAACACTGAGGCTTCTTGCCAAGTGGTGTTTCTTTACAAACACATTTTCCTATTTTAAAAAATGATTTTCTCTTCCAAGATCCACACAAAGAGGTGAATGGCTTAACTAACTTAAAGTGGAAGTAGTGAAACTGACTATATACAAAGTGTTGTCAAATGCACAACATAAAGAAATTAGAAGGAATTTTTTCTCCTGTAAATTGTTTCAGCAATAGTAATCTTCAGAATTGCTTGTAACAATAATGTAACATTTTCAGTCAGCAACATTGGTTTGAGTGGTGGTGTACCTTTAAGAACTTATGCATAGTTACTTTACCTTATGTGCACTAGGGAGCCTTAAAACAGAGAATCCTAATTTTCTTTAATGCATTTAACTCAGCATTCTTACTATAATGTGCAATCTAGAGATCAGTAAAGCAAGTAAGGAAACCTTTGTAATAGGACCTGCAATATCCCAACAATGCTCTAGGCAGGCAGCTCTACACTAGCTCTCATTAGGAGGTTTATCGTCACATCCAGGAGAGCTAGAAACTTAACTGACTTAAATTACAGCTTCAGTTCATCAAAAACTTAAGGGTCAACTGGAATACTGCCAGTAGACAATACCAACTCAATCCATCCCTAGTCAAGATGAAGTTTTGATAATATTGTCCTCAAGAACAGCTCCCTGTCCAAACCAGTTAGGGAAATTATGCCAGAACCACATTATTAGCAACAACAGTAAGTTCCAGCATGATTTCAATAGAGTGAGGTCAGAGCCAAAATCTGCAAGTACTTGAGGGTACATCTACACAGCAACATTATTTCAAAATAACTAGAATTATTTTGAAATAACTTAGTTCCTGCCTACGCAGCAGGCAATTATTTCAAAATAATGTCAAAAAACTGTGAAGCTGGAGGACTTCTTACTCCAACTCCTGTAACCCTAATTGTACTAGGACTAAGGGAAGTTGGAGGAAGAGTGCTCTATTTCAAAATAAGTGCTGTGTAGACGCTCTGAATTTCAAAATAGGCTATTTTGAAATAAGCTAGGCAATTGATGTAGCTCAATTTGCATATCTTATTTTGAGTTAAGCCCGGCTGTGTAAAGGCACCCGCAGTGTTTGCAAATCCCCCAGAAACAGGAATCCTTATGTCGGACCTGAACCTGAGAGGTGCCAATCACATATAACTACTACTGATGTCACTTGGAAAAGCACATACTCAGGATCAGACTGTACACTTAAATAGCTGAATTGCACTCAATGCTCAAGCCACCTTTATGTGAAAATTAAGGAATTGAGCAAAATGCTGGTTATAAGCACCATTGCAACAGAAGGAATTAGGTTAGACAAAACATTACGGGTATGTCTGTCTAGACTACATGGTTCCATCAACGGAGCCATGTAAACTAGTTTACCCGGTATAGTCAATGAAGCGGGGATTTAAATAATCCTCGCTTCATTAAAATAAAAATGACCGCCACGCTGTGCCAACAATCAGCTGATCCGGCACAGCATGGCAGTCTACACGCGGCACGGTTGACAAGGGAAGCCTTTGTCGACTACTCCAGTAAATCTCGTTTCACAAAGGCCTCGTCTAGACTGCTGCACTGTGCAGGATCAGCTGATCGTCGGCACAGTGCGGTGGCCATTTTTATTTTAATTAAGCAGGGATTATTTAAATCCCCGCTTCATTGACTATGCCGGGTAAACTAGTTTACATGGCACCGTTGACGGAGTCATCAACAGAGCCATGTAGTCTAGACATACCCTAAAGAATACTACTAGAGAGGACAACCCAGCATTTTCAGAGAGATGGGTAGATCGGGAGTGAAGAGTTTCAAGGACACCAATAGAAGCTAGGCATTCAATTCTTATTGACTTTTAAGGGGAATTGGACACCTCGTTGCCCTCTGT